TTATAGACCATTGCCGATGTTCTTGATTACCCTCCAGAACTTACAGTAAAACCCTATTGTTGAAGACACCATACACCTGAGGCATAGAACACAGCAAACCCGAGCTGATACAGACCTGGAAGCTTCATCTATATGGGCTAATCCATCCATATGTGCTGGAAGGTGCTATCCACATTATCAGAGGAGAAATGGAATCATGAATTTTACCCCTCAAAAAAGGACAGAAAGATGACTCTTTTTATCCAAAGACATATATGACAGTGGCATCATTCTGTGTCTTCAAGGCTAAAGAATTATAAATGCATTTCTTCTTCCACATCTTTCATCAGAGAAGCATAAAGTCAGCTATGTACAGAGAGATGCTAAGTGTGGATATATGGTATTTTCCCAGCTTATTTTTTAAAATAATTTAATTAGTTTTCCACTTGTGAGACAATCCAGGGAAGTGGCTATTTATCTTAGAGTGAAAGGTGAAAACTTGTGAAGGTATAATATGTACCTCAATAAAAGAAACTTGATAACCCAGAAAAAAAGAAGAGAATAAAATCTTACACCATATCTTTGAAAAGAGTTAATTCTCTAAAGATGATAGTTTATTCTTAATTTATTACTGATGTTAATTTAATCTAATTTAACAGAATTATTTTAGATTTCATCACAAAGAACCAGTAGACAAGAATACCTATTAACTTTTGAGTATATTTGAAAAGTATAGCACACTAATTCAATTAATATAAGTACAAATAGATCAACTGAACCAAATAGTCAAAAATGAAAAACCATATTATAACTCTTCAGTTCTTTTAGTTTTTGGCAAAGTGGCTCAACAAATGAAAAGTGGAAATTCTATTTAGTAAACTACGTTGGACAGTTGAAAACCACTTGGAAACAAATCAAATTAGATCTTTTATGCACATAAAAGTAAAATTCAAAAGGGATTAAAGAGTATAATATAAATTAATAAAACCACATATTTAAGACAAAAAAAGTGAAAAGTTATGTATCTGGGGAGGAGAAAAGATTTTCTAAGCTGAGAAGCAAAGGGGAAAAAATTAAGCATGAAGAAGCTGTGTGATCCATTTTAGTACTAAAAATATTAAATAGCAAACACCGAACTGAGAAAGGATATCTACAACACATTAAGATGTGTCCGTGTGCGTGTGTGTGTGCGTGTGCGTGTGCGTGTGTGTGTGTCTGTGTGTCTGTGTGTCTGTGTGTAAAGCAATAAGATCCAAACCATCAAGTGATAAAAGTATGCAAATAGCCAGTTCACAAATGGGGAAAAATAGTTCAACAACCACATAGAAAACATTTAGCGCCACTAACAAAAGCTAAACTATGAAAAATAGAGTGTAAATGTAATAAAGTAAAATTAGAGGTTAAATTTCAAAGGGAATTTTTTTTAACAAGAATACTCATTGGTAAGGGAAAGTACACATATAAACTAGAATACTCACGTAGGCAAAAATATATGGTGATCATTTATATGTAGAATTGATCATTTAAAAGTATTGAATGATTCAGTGGACAAAATAAGAGGCTGACATACATGTACATAATCGTCCAAAACCAAAATTAGCCAACAAACAATAAAATAAGAGATTAGTCCCGAAAAATATGATTCCTTTACACCCTAGCTGAACTAACATTCAGCTCTTATGAGATAATGCCTTGATTTTATTTGTGAAAACACTGCATATGAGTCAGCTTTTTTCATACTAAATGGAAACTGCAGCAAAATGTAATGAAAGGATGTATATGTTCAAAAATAGTCATGTTATTAAAGTGTAAAAGAAACTTTATTTAAAACTTAATAGTAGTTGTCTTTAAGTCATAATATTATAGATGATTTTTTCCTTAAATTCCATTATGTTTTCAAATTTTATATCCCAAATAAATACAAGAGACTATTTTTATGGACTCTTTTAATTCTAATTTTATTTAGAGCAAACAGTTGGAAGAAAAGCTTCTTGTTTAACTGAAGGATACTAATCCTAGAAATGGAAGACTTTTACAATGTCTGAAACACTCTGTTTTTGAAAACCTAACAGGAAAAAAGGTCCTATGTGACTGAGATTTAATCTGGGAAACAGGCACATATGGTTTGAAAGTACAATTTTAAGCATTGTTTGAACCATACAATAAAAATAGAGTAAATTGAAGTGTAAGCAAACCTTCTTGGTTAATGAGAATAAACAAAATGTAGAAGAAAGTGGTACTGAGTAAACAGCCATTATTGTAGGTTTTTTCATGCATATATGGTTTTTTGTTTGTTTCTAATCTACATCCTATGAATCATTATTTTGAGTAAAGAATATGTTATGTTCCAAATATCATGTAGCACGTATCACATAGTGCCAGTAAGAGAGAATAAAATGTTTGTGTGTATCAAAAGGGACACTCAGCTCAAAACAAAACAAAACAAAACAAAAAACCCTGAAGCACTTATCAAAGGCAAGGAAAGCATTCTTCTTGTCTCTTCCCTCCACAATTGTCTGGTCATAACCCTGAAAACTGACACAACGGGACATCATTCTAAAGACAGGAAGAGGAGACTTCTCCACTTCTCTGTTTTATAGGAAGAGATTTTCAAATAGAAGTTAGTCGACAGCAACAAAACAAACAAACAAACGAACACCTTACATTTATACAGCATTCCCGGTCAGTGAAAACCAGAAGGCTAAGAATTTCCTTATGTGATTCCGGCCTACATGCTCAAATACTAAGGTTTCTTCTCTTCAAGATTTCACTTACAGCCATCTTTTATAAATGAGGAAACAACAGGTTTCTATCTTACACGGATGTAAGGTGAAGCATCAGAGAATTTGAGTGACTCCTAGAGCCCCCACCCTGGTCTGTTGTCAGCCCGATGTTCTTCCTAGTGAAAACTACAATTACCTGAACAGCTCGTCTATTTCCAAATTGTTTGCTGAGTGCCTATTGAGTACCAGGATGTGTTCCTGGTACTGGAGACAATGTTTGCTCATTCATGAAGGTAGTTGTGTGGCAGAGCCCATATATAAATAAACAAGCTAATATTAGTAAGTTTAAAGTTCCTTGAATAAAAGAAATGGGATAGCAACCCAGAGAGGGCACTTATATTTGTGAGAATGATCAAGAGATCTAATGTTGAAGAGAAGGTGGAAAACCCTGAGTAGGGAGTAGGCTTAGTTACCTTCAGGGGTGACTAGATGGTATGAAAAGTACAAGTCTAAGGGATACTGTCTCCAGCCCTCTCTCCCCTATGTGAACCTTTATTTTTCCCTTTTGATTAAGGAACAAGCTACCTCTATTATCAGTGTGCCCAACGCAGCTCGTTTCATTCACCATCCTTCATCTTTTGACAAGAAAAAAAAACCCTAAGGATTGTCATTGGCTTTCCTAGTCCTTCTTAGGGTTCCACTTGGGAACATAAAGGTCCAAGTCCATGGCCGGGTGTCTAGCTTAGTAAAAAAGCATTTTTCAGGCACATACAAAATCCTAGATTCTGTCCTCAACACTGAAAAATTATTTTACCATATATTTACCTTGAAGCCCTTATGATAAATGTATTTAGCATGATCTGAAAACTGCCAAAAATAAAGCTTGGCCATTTAAAAAAAGATCAATATACAATGACAATCCTCTCACACAAGCCTCAATTTAATCTTTATTTTCTGGCCCAGAAAGTACTTCAAATTTTTGCAGTGTATCATCATGTACAGAACTCACTACCAAGCATTTTTGTTTTGTTTTGCTTTTATGTAGACTCTACTGTATTAGAGTGAGACTCTGTGGGGAATACATATATATATATATATCCTGCTTACAGTAGTGTAGTGCTTGAACTGGGTCCTTCTGTAGACTACCTCAAGGAGTACTGAAATAATTTGTTCAAAAGGAGACTAATAATAAACCAGGTTTACATTTGCTGAGTGAGAAGCCCAGTGTTCACTTTTTCTTTTGTAATGCATGGAGGTTTTAATCGTCATAGTCCCTTGGAATACAAAACCCATTTAAAATCAAGGGCTAAGAGGTTGATGTTCTGAGATAACAAGCTTTAGAGTCTGACCATGGTAGGATTCGCTCAGGGAGGTTGGGAGCCAAGATGCAGCTGCACCTGGTTCAAAATGGAGCAAGAGGCTGAGAACAGTCTAGGCAAAGATCAAAGTGGGATCATTACAATGGTGTTTTCTTTCTCTGCTCTTTAAAACCACTTCCAGTCCTATCTTTTACGGGATACACCACGTTTTAAAACTCATTACCCCTCTTATAAAGCAAGGCGACTCAGCAGCACCAGAAAGGTGCCCCTACTCTTTCATACACATCCTCTTCAGTATTGTACTGCATTAGTGTTGATTGCTGTTGTTTAATAGGATCTTATACTAGGTAGCCCTGGCTGGCAAGGAACTAGCCATAAAAACCAGGCTAGTTACCTGAAACTCACACACATCTGTCTGCCTCTGCCTTCCCAGTGCTGCATTCTGAAAGTAATAGATTCCATTTCTTGGTTGGTCACTTCTCCAAGCATTTACTAGATACTTTTCTTTTGGAGTACCATTTTCAGTCATATCTGTAGAGAATGATAGAGAAAGATCTTCCTTTGCCTTAATTCATGGCCCAGAATACAAATAGTCCAACATCCCAGGGCTCCACCATCATGTTGTCTACTTGGAATGAGAGCCTAAGTCCAAAGTATGGGTCTTTCTCAAAGTAAAGGTAAGTTCTAGGCTATGTTTTCCCATTCTGAAGGGTATTTGGTGAAGTTGCCACAAGCAGACTTGGTGAAACGCAGTAGATAAAATCTGCACGGAGCGACATACATCCAAGTCCTGCCCACCACAGCCCAGGGTTAAGCCCTGGGACCATCCATAAGAGCTGGAAGAGTACTCAGTTCCTGCTACCTGTATTCCCTGGGTACCTCTGCCAAAAGCTGTAACCCCTGTCACTCCTCCCAGCCCTCCCCTGAAAGGGCAGGCTACACATGTTAGCAGCCTGCCACTACCACGAGATGTACTCACAAAACACACAGGCAGTACACGCCAGGGACACTCTCGCTGTCTCGCAGCAGATAACTTCCATCCAGCCCTGTAGCTAGTAAGAGCTTCTCCCCGGTCTCCCTGCTGATTTTGCCGTGGTACACAGTCACTGCATCCATGCCTAGCAAACTCTTCGATGGGCCCAGAAGAACGATAGTAAAAAGGAGACGCTGCTGCTGTTGCTGCTGCAGTGGCTTGCTGGGCACAATCAGCCACCTGACTACTAAGGCAGCCAGTATGTAAAGAGAGAGAGAGAGAAATGAGCACCCTAACAACAGGATGTTGTCTACCTGCCTTAAAACCTCTTCTCACACTTCAATTAAGGCCAGCTCAGCAGTTTAACAGCTTTAAACTTGTCATGGGTTTGATCACCTACTCTCCAACACAGGGTTCGTGGGGGGGTGGGGGGGTGGGAGGGGGCCGGCTGGAAAGGTGAACACTTGCAGTATTTGAGCTGTGCCAGCAATGCAGACAGAGCTTGCACGAAGATGAGAAACTTGATAGTGCTTCTGTTCTTGTGTAGTTCCTGCAACCTGCAAAGCCATTGGCAATGACTTGACTTAACTAGTGTAGAAAAGAATTGGTGATAGAGGCAAATGGTAACGTGTCATCATGAGGGGCAGAAACAGACTGGCAAAATAAAAGCATAAAAGCAGCCAAACTACAAAACCACAGCAGAACATGGCGACGAGGCTTCGGCAGCATCACCAAGTGCTACTGAACTGTGGACTTTGGGACTCTATGTTCCTGAAAAAAAAAAAAAAGCTTTCTTTTCTTCAATGCTGTTGATGGAATCAGGGACCTCCCAGATGAGATCTTCTACCACGAAGCCATATGCCAAATCCTTCAATAAGCTTTGGCCCAAGCAAATGTTTTTACCTTAATGCTTTGTCCAAGATCCAAAAGTATCAGTTTAGTAACCCACAAAAATTATAATAGTGTTAAAAAAATTGCAGATGGATCTAGCTGAAGGGCTTAAGAAGAGCAAATCCTTTTATTGGTGCATTATTATTATTTATTCAAATCAATATAATTCAAATTCAACATACTTACAGCATTTCACCCTTCCCTTTTCACCATTGAAACCCTCCCATGAACCCCTCCCTGCTCTCCTTTAGGGCTACCCATTTAGTACTGGACTACAAATTAGTGTGCTCTTCCCAGAAGTGACCACTTCCTCTACTCCCAGTTTTACTCGGCTGCCTAGAGTTCTTCCTCTAGGGCTGCTGGCTTGTGGGCTTTTTCTGTCCAGTTTGGTCTGTTCATTGGTGTTATATGTGAACTTCTATGTACCCTTTAGTGTATGGGGCTGGGCCAGAATCACTGTGGATATAAAATCCACTTTACATCATTATACAGGTGTTGATAAATGTGTTCTCACTTCTATTTTCATACATAAATGCTTATCTACATCAATGTTAAAAAAAAAATCAGAGGTTAGCCTAACCAGGACTCTATTTGAAAAAAACCTAATACTTTAGAAATCAATTACAATGATGGCATTTTAAATATGAAAAGAAAGAAAGGGGGATCCTCTTTTATTGAGTCATATAAACAGCAACCCACCTATAGTGTTACATAAGTTAAAAACAAAACCTAATGTTTCTTTTCTTTTTTTGTCTCTGAACAACTCTGAACAAATCATCTACAAACACAGGAACAGAGAAACCTGAGTCTGATGGAGCAAGCATCCATGCATTCTTTTCTTTCTGTTTCATTCTGGAATGCTAAAATAGCATGCTTGTCAAAGCAGCCAGGTATAGTGGGCTTCAGCAAAACGAAAATCACATCAAAAAAGAACAGTTAAATTATAAGGTAATAGTACAACTCTCACATCCAGTACCTTATTGTCATCTCACAAGCAAACTGACAGATGAGCCAGCCCACCATTGCTGTGTTGATGAAAAATACTGACATCTTTGCTTGGCTGCTACGCAGGCACTAAGCCTGACTTTGGCAAATTCAAACTTCACACAAAGCTTGAAGTGTAGAGAACAGAGGAACTGAAATAGCTTTCTTCCTTCTCTGTCCCTGTACCCACAATACAGGAAGACAAAGATCATATAATAGAGAAGGGAGGATAACAGTGACACCAACAGACAAAGAGCTAAGGAATGTGCCCCATTTATGACAGGAAGAATCTGCTTGTGTGTTGCCTGTCTCTGCCCCTTGACCTTAAGGTCCATATCAACAGGCATTTATATAAGTTGTTTGCCACTGTATCCTCCGTGACTGGCACACAGTGGATGAATTTAGTGGATGAATAAATGGTTGAAATTAAAGCTGTCAAGAAAACAATCTAAAATTATCTCTCCCACCTTGACTGTCTCTCTGCCTCTTGATCTCTCTGTCTCTGTCTCTCTGTCTCTCTCCCTTTCACACACACACACACACACACAGACACACCAGTGCTTTTTCACACCTTTGGCTCCCCATAGAAACGGCAATGGGAATTGAAAAGCACATTAGTGAAATAGTTATGAGGTCCAAATTACACTTCATCTTTTACCACTAAATGGTTTCCTCTCTCTGAGCCTTATTTTCTCCATCTGTCAAAAGGAATTGAGCCAGGTGAACCCTAAGTAGTCATTTCCAGCCTCAACATTTTGTGCTATAAGTAAATGAATGAATAAATAAATCAAGTAAGCAAGCGTCTTTGGAGAAAAACACAAGGGTAGCTCATTTTTGAGCAAGAAGCAAGATCTTGAAGTCTCAACAGGAGGAAGCATTTGCTCTCGTTTTAAAAGTAATCTCAGAAATAAAAATCATCGTAGAGGAAGAGAACTTTATATTTTAAAGAAAACTTTCTGAATATAGATGCCATTTAAATCAAACACAAAAACGTTGAAAGCTGGAAAAACTGTCATGCAAAGTTGAAAGGGTCCTCTTGTCTAAACTTGTCACTTCCTGAGATCTCAGAGCAGTGACAGGATTTTGCATGTGGATGCCCTGTCTGAGGTGCTAATTGTCTGGATTCCAACTGCCCTAGGGTATTCTGGAGCCCAGGTAGATTAAAAGAATGATACCCAGGGTGGTCAGTTCTGTACAGTAGATAGGACATTTCAGAATCCTTTTCTCTAACCTTTCAAAACTACCTTTGTTCTATCAGCTTATCTAAAATGTGTGAATTCTCCTGTGAACATGTTGTGATGTGGTGAGTTTACACATACTCTTGGCACTTAAATTTACTTCCTTTACAAAAGTAAGAAAAAAATAGTCTTTGAGAGAGAGAGAGAGAGAGAGAGAGAGAGAGAGAGAGAGAGAGAGAGAACCTCTTTTCACTAACACCTGAGCTTACTTATAAGGCTATTTTTTCTAAATGCCTTCTTCAAAGAGAGAAAGTAGACACAAGGTTGCTGTGGGTATTTGTTTAAACCCGCTAAATATATGTATTATTCTTCCAGCTACTAATAATCTTCTGTTGTATGTCAGATCCAATAGTTGGAACTTAAGTTAGAAAGAAGAAAACCATAGTTCATACCTGTTCGCAAGTAGCTCATAGTAGGATGCAAACAGTTACATTCCGGTTCCTGTGTTGAATGCTTAGAGCCCATCTGGTGGCATTATTTTGGGACAGGGTAGAAATGTTAAGATGTGGGCCCTACCTGGAGAAAGTAACTCACTGAGCATATGCTTCTGAAAGGTACAGCTAATTCCAAGCCATAGATTCTCCTTCTCTCTCCTTCCCCGGCCTCTCCCTTTCCGCTCCAACTCTCCATCTTCCTTACCATCTCACTCCCCACTCCCAGCCACAACTAGCAAATCAGTGTTCCTCCTCCCTGCCTTCTTTGCCATGATGCTGCACCTCACTTAGTCCTCTGGAAACGTAAGACAAATAATTCCTGATGTAAATTGCTTACAGTAAGGATTGCTTCAGAGCACCACAAAACTAATACAAGCTATGATAAAGGAGACGGTGGAGTTCTCACAGCACAGCAATACTACATCTTGCTCGGTTTTTATTCTAAATGTATACCACATACTTGAGGAGACAATGTCTTTTATCTTTATCTGTCTGCTATGTATAGTTACTTCCTCTAGTTTGCCTGATTTTTCACCTCCATCTTAAATTCAAAAAAACTTAGTTCTAGCTGAAATGGCATGTTTTTGAGCTTCTATGCTTTATTTGATACTATGCCTTGGAAAGATCTTGCTTGGATGGTTTGTTGCTCAGGTTTTCAGGCCCAGAATATGGATCATCAGTTATCCATCCATCCATCCATCCATCCATCCATCCATCCATCCATCTACTCATCCATCCATCCAAAATAACAGTACTCTGAGAATAATCTGTTGCTAAGGTGATCTAGCCAAGTTCAATGGCACATGCCTGTAGTCCAGCAATTTTGGAACAATTTATTAAGCCCAGAAATGTAGATCCAGCCTCAGCAACCATAGAAATTTTTTTTCTTAAAAATTGGAAAATAAATAATCTAAGTGTCTTCTATCCAAGTCAGAAATTGCTATACAGACAGTCTTATTACTCATTTCTTCTTTTCTAGATGAAATGAAGGTAAGCCATAAGCATCTTATCTTAGTTTTCTCACTGAGTATAAACAAGATAGCATATTCTACTAACCTCAAACCTAACAGATGCTCAAGAGCTTTTTACTGTGAGCTTGCAAAACCCTGGGAGACATGGATGATGTCATATTCCTCTTAGGGTATACATATCCAAACACAGTGCCTGACATCTGGTTAACATTATTCTTTCCTTCCCTATATGGAGAGAACTTCCTACAGACTGTGGTTTCTAATTTGATTCCAAGGTTATAACATTTTTGTCATTGATTTCTTTTATACAATCATTTACCATTGTTTTTCAAGTGGTCTGCCTCATTCTTGTTGGCAGAAACAACTCTTTACACACCTCTCCTTAGCTACTCATAAATAAATCTTCTTGTGCCTTTTTGGGTTTGTTATGCCACTTACTTTCAAATAGCAACTAACTGAGTCATCATTCTGCATCCTTTATTTCCAGGTGAGCTATCTTAAAACAAAAAACAAACAAAAAAAAACAAAAAACAACAACACAAAAAAACTCCTATGAGACTCTTCCCATCTGAAAAGCTGTTTGTTCTCTGTCTCTCTCTCCCCCATTCTATCTATCTATCTATCTATCTATCTATCTATCTATCTATCTAAAAATTTCACCACCAGAGTTCAAACTGGATTAAAAGTGCAAGGTACTGTTATTTTGTCTATATATTTTTACTTGAACATTTTTAAGAATCCTCTGATATTTTAGAACATGAATTATTGACTCCTGCCAGAGAAGCAGATCAGTGCCTTTCTCAGCCATCATCAAAGAAGCTTCCTCCTGCAACAGA